CAAAACTCCAAAAGGAAGATTCATTAATAAAAGATTTAATGTTCTTGCAGCAAGGGAACAATACAGAAGGAACGCAAGAGGTTCCATTCTGGTTGCTCAAAGGGCAGTCCTTTGAGTCCAGTTTATATACAATAATATAAACAGATGATGATGCATTGTCTATAATCATTGGTCTAAACAGTGTGTTTGGTAGAATCCTATTGATCATATAATGAAATCATTGTCAGCACAATATTCCTGCAACTGGCACATTCCAACTATTCAACTGATTGAAACTACAGTTGAGCATTTGATTATATCAAGAAGCACACACATTTAGCATTAATGTTGGGTTCCTTTAAAAGTATACAAATATAAAAAGAATATAAATAGAATATATGGAAATGAATCAAATTAATTTATCTAACACTTGATTTGCGTTAACATGTTTAATACCTGTATGTATATTATGTCATGTGTATTTTTTTACGCAAAACAGCACAAGAAATGCTGCAGATATTGCCGCACTTTTTAAATTTAAAAAGTTTTAAAAAATTAAATCATTTTTGCCATGATATACGCACACACTTTTATTTATTACCTTTTAGTTTATATGCTTAAAATAGCAAATGTTTGTCTCGTCACATAACATGAAGTGTAAAGAAATTTTACGAATCTACGAAGTGAACTTTCACAAACTAATTTCAAGAGGAGCACGTGATATGATTGATCACTGCTGGTCTCTCTTCTGTAATCATTAGTAGGCCAGTCGGATTAATCCAAGCCCGTCTAGCATTACTCCCTTATCTTCATTTTTTGAAGAATCCCCCCATCCACCCCAACTCCCCCTTATGCTGCCGTCACACTAGAGTTTTTGCATGTGAAATTCTGTCGTATAGCGCTGCGAAAAGGGGCGGGATTAAACGAGATGATTAGACATTTAAAAAAGCGACTGTTTGGTCCATGTTTTAAATTTCCTTCCAGTGGTCATGTTTTGATCTTTGTTTGGTCTCATGCTGTCATGTGATGCAATTTTGCAGGTCAGAGTTCACCAAGCTTGAACTTTCCAACGCAATGAACTGCGAAACTTTTCGCACAAGCTTGCGATTCAGGTCTGACGCATTTGCATACGTATGAATCTATGTCAATAGGGAGAAAATTGCTGTGTGACTACAGCTTTAATCTTTACCAGGGGGAGCTCTCGAGAACTACCGAATCTCGTACCCCCTTACATGCTCATTATCCAGGCGGGAGCTCTGGGCTCAATTATCTCCGAGCTCAGGGTTCTCTCCTAGGACAGTATGCCAAATCTGCTATTATTATTAAGCAAGAAATTTGAGTAAAGATGTTGAGTATTTTATGACTTGCTGTTGGTTAATTAACGAAAAAATGACCATGATTTTGATGGTAAAAGGTGTAAAAATGCTAGAGTAAACCTGTTTAACAGTACAGTTCCTTAATATATACGGTGAATACTTGTAAATTACAATTCACTTTTTTTGTTAGTTTATTGACATTACTATGGTTCCTTTGTCACGATCACCAGCGATCCAGCCTGTGCAGGTCGCCAGAGAACTACAAATCTTCCAGCAAAAAAACAACAAGATCCAGTCAAGTACCACTCACAAACCTGGCCTAGATCCTGTCTGATTGCAAACACTCACAGCTGAAGCTGCTCATGAACTGATTACAAGGACTATAAAGACAGCACGTACACACACATTGTTGCTGAGTCTTGTTGAACAGTTTTGTGAACATTACAACGTGTTTTCCTTGCCTTGTCTGTTAGTTTAAATTGCCTGCCTGTACTGTTTGCCCGTGTTGACCGTCGATTGCCTGACTGTTCTTTATAAACCTGCATTTGGATCCGCACCTCCCTTGTCAGCATTACTTTACATCCTTTTAGTTTTAAGGTTCTTTATAGTAGTTTTATATTGCATCTCATGTTGACAAATAATGTTTATTGCATTATTTTAGTGCAGTGGTAGTTTACCGTTTCCCTTCTTGTCTTAGATTTTTCACTGATTAAACATCTTGACAAGTGCTAAATTAAAAGCAAAACCATAACTATAAACTTTAAACGTTCACTTTTAAATATAAACTTTAAAACTTAATTATTATTTTATGGAATAGTTTCATATATTTTCTTTACTTTAATTTAATTTACTTTATACAAACCCTCATGAACAAAAACTGTGCATGTTTGCTGTAATTTTGTGTAGCTTTACAAGCAGTGACAAAGCACAAATACTGTCTAAATTAATCACACCGTTATAGACTAAATATCATAAAAACGTCGCTGGTGGCACCAAGGGAAAATTACCCAGCAAAGCGTTCACCCTGTAATTTTCCTCCCACACAATAGTTTGCATGGAATTCCTGAAGTATTTGTCTGTTTGCATATGAGGTAGAATAAGCCAAAGTTAACCGTTTCACAAAAACGTATAGTTTACAGTTCCTCTTGACATTCCTGCCTCACTAAATGAATTCCCCCTGATCTTAAGCCACTCAATACTGCAGTCAGTTGTGCAACATCTTCACTAAATAAAGAGAAGTGATTCTTTTTCCTCTGCTCTAACTGCACTGTCAGATGATAACTTGTGTCATTTAGTATTGATGGCAGAAAAGAGAGAAATGTGAAAGCATTTGTGATTTGAACATAGTGATGTTGGTTGCCATCATCAATAGAGAATGTCTGATAACGAGAGTAAAAGTGAAAACAAGTAGGAGAAAAATAATGATAAGAGAGAGAGAGAGAGAGAGAGTGAAACCCCCCCCCCCCCCCAAAGAGAATCTGCAGATGTTTTCAGTGCTAAAATTCAGTGTAAATACAATGATTGCATTATATTTTTCGTGCAATAGAATGTGTCATGTTATATAAATGAAAAAATGTACAAAAGCACGCACATCACTGTAACTGGGTGCTCAGCCAAACGTGCAATATATATATATATATTTAAAAAAGGCGGCAAGACTAAAGCTGTTGTATTCTGTTTAGTTTTCTTTATTTTTTTATTTAATATTATGGTTTGTTTCTGTACTTTCGTTTTGAATATCCAAGTTGTATAATTTATGGATGTGTATTTTCTATTTTTGTTGTTGTGGGATAATATGTGAGATCATGTGATCTGGAAGTGTACAAAAAGGAGCATCTTATTGTGATGAACACTGTCTGATGAAGAGCCGTGTGCTCGAAACGTTACATGCCTTGTATCAGCCTTTTTAATTTAATAAATTGGCATTTTTGGAGCTTTGGTGTTGCCGCCTTTTTGAAAATGTCATATAAATGATCACACATTTTTATCATGATTTACTATATCACTAAAATGTGATATAGTGTAACAACAGTTTACAGTTGCAATCAGAATTATTAAACACCCTGAATTATTAGCCCCGTTTATTTTTTCCCCAATTTCTGTTTGACGGTGGAATGATTTTTTCAACACATTTCTAAACATAATGGTTTTAATAACTCATTTCTAATAACGGATTTATTTTATCTTTGTCATAATGACGGTACATAATATTTTACTAGATATTTTTCAAGACACTTCTATACAGCTTAAAGGGACATTTAAAGGCTTTTACTAGGTTAATTAGGTTAACTAGGCAGGTTAAGGTAATTATAAAGTATAACAATGGTTCTGTAGACTATCAAAAAATATATAGCTTAAAGGGGCTAATAAAAACTGTTTTTATTCTAGCCGAAATAAAACAAATAAGACTTTCTCCAGAAGAAAAAATATTATCAGACATACTGTGAAAATTTCATTGCTTTGTTAAACATCATTTAAAAAATATAAAAAAATAAAAAAATAAAAAATTCAAAGGGGGGCTAATAACTCTGATTGCAACTGTATGAACCAAAAACTCTCATCAGACATATTTAGAATATGAGTAATTTAGAGACATGTTTTGGATGCATTTACACTTGTGCATTTTCATTTTGAGATGAAAACACTCCTCATCCTTGTATTTTTATCACATTCTAGAAAAGGATCTCCAGCCACATTGTACAGGCTATAATGCATGATACAACATGTAACATATAACATGTTTTCAAACACCCCATTGTCACAACTTGAAGATGCTGGAGTAGTGTGCACCCCAGAAGTAACCATAACAAAAGTGTATTCGCATTAAAATAAAAACGTAAAATCGCACCTAAAATATAAACCTTGTGCTGTTCTACAATGCAGCTCCGAAAACACAAATTAATTTTAAACCTTACACCTTTAACACCAATGGTTTCAAACTCAATTCCTGGAGGGCCGCAGCTCTGCATAGTTTAGCTCCAACCACCTCCAACTCACACCTGCTCAATAGTCTCTAGTAGTCTTGAACACCTTGATTAGTTGGATCAGCTGTGTTTGATTAGATTTGGAGCAAAACTGTGCAGAGCTGCAACTCTCCAGGAATCGAGTTTGAGACCTATGCTGTGAGATGATGACGTCTGCTGCTTCAGAAGCTTTAATAGACAAATTAAAATCAAAGAAAAACAGCATTTGCAATATGGGAATATTTTGGTTTCAAAGTCACAGACACCGAACAAAAACAGGTCATTTTTAAGAGCTGTCGCAGAATTGTTGCCACGAATTACAGACTATTGAGCTGAAGCATGAATTAAATTCAAATCAGCTTAAGATTAAATTTAATCATAAATCAACTCGCAAAAACATTATCTGTCAAAAAATAAATAAACAATAAATTGCTATTAGATATTTTCCCCTAATCGCACAGCTCTACTGCAAAGTATAGTATTGTACCTTGTCAACATTTTAGGTACTAATATTTACTTTTGTACAACAATTACGGACCCTTTTCGGTACAAAAAAGTACCTTTTGAAAATATAAATTTCCTTATTTATAAGGAACTCCAGATGAAATCATTTGCATTTATTTAAAGCATAAATAGTAGGTTTTCAATAATTTCCCTCTAAATCAGATCAACTTTGTATGTACTACTTTTTCGGGCAGATTCTGTTTAGGCCAGGAAAGGAAAAAGCAGTGTTGAATCTCACCATTGAAGGGGTTGATTCCTCGTGTCACCCTCTGCATGATGGCATCCTTCACTTCTCTTCTCCGCACACACTGGATGCCCAGATTCTGAAAACTGTTTAAAGAAAAAGAAACAAATAAAAGAATCTGTTAACGTATGCATTCTGATTTTGCACCTCCAGCTTTGTTTAGTACTTTATACTGTCCGACTTGAATGACTAATCCCAAAAACTAAAGCTAACAGGGAGAGTGAGGTTAGAATTAACCATACAGACAAATCAAGGGCAAGCTGGAGCTCTCATTTTGCATACCGGGGAATCCCCTGCATGGCTCCCTATTCTAAAACAACATGCTTCTTTAACATAAAAAAAAAAGTAGAAGAATGGACAGCCCTTCGGAAGAGAAATGTGGTCGTGTGTGGGCTGAGTAAAGGGAAAAGCACACAGGAATGACTTGGATGTGGGGCACAGCAACGTTTCGTTTCATTAAGAGGAAAATGGTAACAGGACCAAACAGGATTACAGCAAAATTTAAAGATAATGAAGATTTTTTCTTCTTCTCGTGAGTGACAGTGTTCAGATTTTAAAAGATTGAACTTACGCAATGGCCCTTCGTTCAGGTCCAAACTCTGCCTCGTAATATCCATCCTTGCAGTCTTTTCCCACTAGGTCATGGGGATGGGGTTTGTAAGGTTCACTTTTGGTCACCAAAGTAACACGCACTTTTCCTTTGCCAGTGACATTAAGAATCTAAAAGGAAAAAGAGATGCATTTATAAGAGAAAGGTACCAAGAAATAATGTTCATTCAGAAATACCTAAAAATGTCAAGTATCACTTTGAATAACACATAATAATGTAATGGCATTTTTTGTGTGAAGTGTTCTTCAATAATCTTTAATAGTGTAACATCTTCCTTAATCCTTCCATAGTGCTTCTGTTTTTTTTCAGGGACTGTTTTGTTTTCTTCAAGGTTTTTGATATTAAATCATGCTTTAATAATACTTCAGATTATACATAGTGTGTGCATTAGCTATTATTAGGTCCACACAGAATCTACGAGCAGAAATCTACAGATTTTTAGCCCATTGAGTCTATGTATTTGCTTGTGTAAATGTGTGCACATTTATATTTTTTCAAATTTTTAATCCATTTCATTAATATTATTGTGATATAGTAATATTAAAATTTTCATATGATTCATTTACAATACAATTTGTAAAAGTAATATTTTTAGTAGATCTATATGAAAGAATTGCTTTGTTTACCAATTAAGTGGATCTAATTGGATTTGCACTGTTAACGTTAAATAAAGTTAAAAAGGTATTGTTTTTTATTTCATATATGTTGTTTTTAGTTATGATGATACTCTTAAAATAATTCCACATAAATCCGCAGATTTTCTCCATAGAAAAAAAATGATAGACAGATCTTAGATCTTAGATCTGAACAAGAATGACAGCTAAAACTGTATAAATCCTAAATGCTTTTAAGCACAAGCTTCATTTTTTGTCTCTTTTTTTTTTCTAAGAAACTTGTAAAAGATTTGGCAGATTATTGCTGAAGTAAAAAACTGTTTATTCTTATTTTTGTTATGAAAAATACATTTTACACCAAACAATGTGTGCTTCAAATCTGAAGTATAAATGTATAAAATGTTCCCACAAGATGAAATTGGTTTCCCATTCATTTCCTTGTGGCCATTTCTGACCTCTAACAACACAAGTGCATCATTTAACATTCCTGAATCATTTTTATACATTCGTCCATGACCGAAGAGCCAAAACATTTACCAAGTAGACACAGTTTCTTTCTCTTTATCCAAAGGCCTATAATAGATTTTATTTATCTATTAGTAAATACCTGAATGCTTGGGTAGGTTCTGTTATTGTCAGAGCTTCTTTCTCCTGGTATGCTGCCCGCAGAACGACCTTCGCATTTATATCTGAAACGCATGCCTCTCTGTTTGGGCTGCTCGAAAATCTGAACACATGGCTCTCCCACTGCACAAAAAAAAAAAAAAAAAAACAGGTCAAATTATTCCGTCAGTTCATTTTAACATTTTTAACACATTTAAAATTCTCAAATGAGTCTTATTAATCATTAAAACGCCAAAAGCGAAGATACATGGGCACCAAACACCTGCAACAAGCCACTTCTTGCATCTTTCACAGAACCTGACCATAACCTGACCACAAACAACGCAGCCTGCCAGTAAATAATTTCCCGCTCTCTGCACCTGTCAGCAGCACACACTGTTTACGAGCTCATCCAGGTGCCTTTACATACCATCATAACTTTTCTTCAAACACCTGCACACACAGCTGCATTTGTCATGCGATATTAGTGGTTGTTTATAACACATGAACACTGTCAAATATTGAGGGGAAAATTTGAAATCTATGATAATGACGCATGAAACAGATCCAGTGTTTGATTCCGTGTGTAGTGCACAGATGTCACTCACTCTTGCCTGCACAACAGATCTGTCACTTACAGGAAGTCATATATTTATCAAATAAAAGAGGAAGTAGAGTAAGAAAATTTGAGCATTACATCGGTTTTACTAAGGCGACTGGGTGACGTTGGAAGATATCTGATGGGTGATCAGTCAGAGTTTATGACCAACCCTAAACTTAATTGTAAATATGTTACTGGTTCACACTGTATATATAGAGATTGATATGAGTACTTACTTAGATGGGGATCCCTGTGCATTGAGAGGGATTGCACTGTATAAGAAAGAAAGACAAAGATCAAATCAATCAAGAAGAATGTCACCTATAGTACAATGCATTGTATATTGTGGAAGAATCACTAAACATGCAGATGAGAATAAGAGAGAGGAACAGCTTTTTCAAAGTTCCTCATTTTTATTTCCTGGTGTTACTTTGTGCCTCACGTATTCATGTATTGAGAACTCATTTGATTTGTTTGGTTTATACACTGATTATATTCAGTTTAGATGATTAACACATTTGTTTCAAGGTAATATGAATAATAATCAATTTGTTATGAAGGAGATGTATGTAATTTTACATTTACACAAATGTAAAGCTTATATAACCAACAAATATATATATTTAACAATAGAATCTGATTTATAAAGGGTGTGTAAAAACTTTAAAGATACAGAACACAGTGAAGATTTACAAACTCCAGACAACATATATAAAAGCATTCATAATAACTGACGGATTTCATATATCACATTTACAAATTGGTAGTCTATATTAAAGATTTAATTGTCTGTCTAAACTTTTTAAGAACCTCCGTTGTGTTCTGATTCGACTCACGGTATGAATGGGTCGCATGATTCAATTAAACCCAGTAAAGAGTAAGAAAAGTAACGTACAAAGACATGATGAATTGATTAACTGTATAAATACTCGTACTCACCATCCATAACACCAGTGTCGTAGGTTTGTTATACGTCCGAACTCCAAGAGCTGAACAGATATTCAGAAACACTTCTACTACATAGACTACTAGTACTGGGAATTCCCCTCTATATACAATATCAGCAGACACGCCCCACATGGCAAGCCGTCGCTACATTTAAAGGAACCTTACTACCTCAGCTTTGGGTTTTGCTGTTCATTAGATGCTCGTACATATAACATTGCTAAATCCTTGTTAAAGCAAATCCAGTAGTGATGAATAATTAAACTTTAGACTACTACTCACAAATTGAACTACTTTGTTTTATATTTGTAATAACACAATGAAATTGCTGCTCATTTTAAACTGCATTTTTACTTAAATGTCTTAGTTATGCCTACTCAAGCAGTTTCAGTTCTATTTCTTTCTATTTATAAGATACTTTTTGGGTGAAGTTGATACTTGCTAAGTGAAAAACAAATGACTGAACTATAAAGTAGCATTTTTGAATAATCTGTTACACTTTTTTTTTTTTAGATCTTTCATTAAGTAATATTAATGTAATGTATAGGGTGTGGTTTAACGACACAGTAGGTAGTGCTGTCGCCTCACAGCAAGAAGGTTGCTGGTTCGTGTCTCGGCTGGGTCAGTTGGCATTTCTGTGTGGAGTTTGCATGTTCTCCCTGCGTTCCCATGGTTTTCCTCCGGGTGCTCTGGTTTCTCCCACAGCCCAAGGACATGCGTACAGGTGAATTGGGTAGGCTAAATTATCCGTAGTGAATGAGTGTATGGATGTTTTCCAGAGATTGGTTGCAGCTGGAAGGGCATTCGCTGTGTAAAAAAAGCATATGCTGGATAAGTTGGCGGTTCATTCCACAATGGCGACCCCAGATTAATAAAGGGACTAAGGCAAAAAGAAAATGAATGAATAGGGAAGAGATGTAGTTGCTTAAGGATGTTTTCATGTTGATATGCAAGATATATATAGTTATTACAACAGTAAATATATTTATAACAAGGACCTTGTAAATTTAAATGCACTGGAATTACTTATAAAGAATGAAAAACAATTGCAACTAGTAATGAAGTGCTAGTAAAAACAGGGGTAAATTACTAAAGTTGGTAAAGATGTTAGTTATTGGTAAGAAGATATATCCAGAAGTCACAACAGATATTACAAACTCCTTTAAAGCTGAAAAAGAAGTGCCTTTTGAAGAGCTAAATAACAGTGATTTTTCTGGATTCTTAGTGGAAGAAATACAATTATTTCTATATATATTTAAAATCTAGGTCCTGCATTTACAGTTAGGCACTGTATTGATACAAAACCCAGGAAAAAAAAGGGCTGATTAAATACATTTTATTTCAAACTAACCGGAAAATTCCAACTAAATAGAAAAAAAAAGTTAATTTACTTGTTTAAAACTATTTGTAAAATATCACCTGCAGATTGACATCAGCTAAATTAGTATGTAGGGACATTCACGAAATTGCTGATCATTGTTTTTTTCATTCTAAAAAAGAAATATACCTGGTGCTCTTTTTCTGTGTAGCACAAACTCTTAAACATTAGTTGAACATCAACAGGTGTAGACATTTTCTGTCCAACTAAAAATATGACTATTCTGACTGAAGCTTGTTTATTGAATATATTTTATACATTTGTCTGTTTTAATTTCTAGCCCAATTCAGTAGCAAGAATCACAAATTAACTCACATTTCATCTTCATGCTCTTTTTGCACAGCGATAAATTAAGGACAATTTTAAAGTAAAATTGAAAAGAAATAAAGACAGATGTTAATTGCACTTACAAAATATTCAGAAACATTACTTAAATTCAATCCACATTACCTGTAATCAGTTACCAAACAGCACCAGGAGCAGGTGTAGATCAGAACAGGTGTAGGTGTTCATCTCGATCTTAAACTGTAATAGCTGCTCATCAGAACTTTTAGTGTTATTTTCACAGCCTGCTCACAAAGTTATCACTACTTAGTTAGCGTCACCCCCCCACAAAAAATACTTTGTCAACCCCCGGACCCCCTCCTCTACGGTATTCAGCTTTCTTCAAAATATCTTCTTTTGTGTTTAACAGAGTGAAGCAAACCCATTTACACCTTGGAGCCCCTGGCGGTGAAAAAAATAGCAATATATCATTTTTGGTGACCTATCAATTTAATGTGAACACGGCTTGCCACACTTCCCTGACGAGCAGCCAATCAAACAATGTAAGGGAGTAGTACGACGTCAAATTCAAATCAAGCATAAAGGAAATGTGTCAAAGTAATAACAGAATGTCAAAGCAGGCACTTGTAATAATTAATGTTTATTTTTCTTCGCTGAAATGGAAAGAAAAAACATTTTGAAATACCAAGGGCATTTTCATTTCATGCAACAAGTTTTACCTCATAGTCACAAACAAGTCAGACTCTCGTTGGTTTTATCTGCGCGTTGCGTTCTTCTGCATATTGATTTAGGAGTAGAATTATCCTCTTATAACAAGGACTTAAAGCGACGCTTGATATAAACCCCGTCTTGTTTTGTTGCTCCAATCTAGCGTAACATTCATCCATTCAGTGTTGCACGAAGTGAGACTTTGACAGCCCTAATCACCATTCATTCTCAACACGCTGGAAAAATGACTGCACTCAGTCACATATCTCATTTAGAAAAAACGTTTTTACAACATTACAACTATCTAGTAGAGATTTTTTTTTATATTTTGAGAAAACTATGCCTTTACAAAAATCTAAATCAACTTTTGACCGAAAAAAATGCAGCATTAATTCGCTTAACAGTGGACATCGTTATTATAATTATCATCATTTACCAGCTGTTTATACTTTTTTTTTTTTTTTTAAATCGACGCCGATTGTTTTTACTAAAGTTCAGGTCTACAGAGGGTAATCCCCCGCACGAAGTGGGAATCTCCCACGAACAAGGAAGTTTATTTCAAACAACACAGAATAACTTTTTTTTTTTTAATAAATTACGCGTGGTGTTTGTCGAATTAATTATAAATGACATTTAGACGTTTACTTAATTGTATCTGAGCATTTAAGATGCTATAAAAGGACAGTGATCAATGCTACTCGAGTATTTAAAACTTCATTGGTAACACATACGTCACTGGGATCGCCTATAAGGGGTGACGTCATCTAGTGCAGTGACAGATTTTTTTGCAACCAGACAGGTAAATAACAGAGCTGGGTAGACCAATGATTACAAATTACATGATGCAATTTGTGTTCAGTACTTGTTTTACTTTTTTTTTATTTTTTAGTCCAATGCAGTAGCAAATTCCTCCTCATGCTCATTTTAGACAGTGATAAATTAAAGACAGCTTTAAAGTAAAATTGAAAAGAAATAAAGACAGAAGTGAATTGCACTTACAAAAAACTTGATATCAAATACCCTAAATTCAATCCACATTACCTGTGATCAGTTACTAAACAGCACTCGGAACAGGTGTAGAAGCTATTTTGTTCACTGTAGCTGTTCTCACTAATAATTTAAGTGCAGTTAACTTGTTACAAGTTTATTCATATTACAATATTTAAATAAGTAATCCCAACTTTAAGCAGATGAAGTTGTTAAACTAGAGATTCAAGTAATCTTGACTTACAGTAATATGTATTTAACACTTTTGAGTGGTCATGTGTCAAATGCATGTCAATGATAAAGATTGGTGATTAGGGAACAGTGGAAACAGGTGGAAGAATTAAAACTTAAGCATAATTAGACACAAGCATAACAAATTCGAGAGCTTTTTCAACTCCTTGTTAAAAAAAATGACTGTTATTATTAATATTATTTAAATATTTTTATAATAAATGATATTATAAAAGTATTTATATTATAAAGATAAAATAATATTTATATAATAATAAATAAAATTATATAAATATTATTTATTACATTAATCCCAGTACACGGATGCTAAATAATACAATAAAATGTTTTGGAAGTGTATTGGTTTTTAGGGTAGCGCTGTTGTCCAAGCAAGAAGGTCACTGATTTGAGCCCCAGCTGGGCCAGTTGGCATTTCCGTGTGGAGTTTGCATGTTCTCCCTACGTTGGTGTGGGTTTCCTCCAGGTGCTCTGGTTTCCCCCACAGTCAGACATGCGCTATAGATGAATTGGGAAAGCTAAACTGTGCGTAGTGAATGTGTGTATGTCCTGGTCCTCCAGGTTGAGAGTTGGGCTAATGACCCACCTCGCAAAAATGAGATGTTACGAAAGACCGACATAGTGCGACTAAAGATCAATTTCGATATAAATGTAAGTAAGGTGTTGGTTTTTGTCTTTACCTAAATGTTTTAGGTTCAGCTTACTTGATAATTAAGGCAGTCAGTTTCCTGATATTTTCCTAGTAATTTGAACACTAATAAGAAGTTAACCAATTATTTTGCGTCAACAGTACTGGTTTCCTTTATTAAGGCGTTGTAAATGCAAGCAGTTTTAAGTTATGCTCACTTAAAATTAATACAGCGGTTTCCTTCATTTTGTAAAGCAAGGTCAACATATTACATTTTACAGTGTATTCGAAATCTCTCATTTGTTATGCAAACACCGTTATTTAGAGAATCTATACATGCAAAGAATAAAGACAGAAGCCTGTTTGGGGTTTTGTGAATTTTTATGTTCTTAATGTAAAGAAGGCAGTTTACATTACATACAAAAATACCCTTTCAAATACAACTTTTGCCCTACAAAAGAATGACAAGTAGATATATTTTTTTGCAAATTGTCCTAAAGGTAACAGGTAGATTGGAACTGAGCAATGAAATTAATTTCTAGATGTTCAACTGCAATACCTGTGATATAAAAAAATGATAATGGTACAAATAAATAAAATGTTAAGAAACCCCAAAATGAATAAGAAGTCTTTTATCTGTACACCCCAACAGGGCAGGACAGTAACTTTTGGAAATGAAAGGGGGGGCAAAACAAATAAGGGTGGGGGGGGATGATGGAAAGAGGGCAGAAATCTCATTTAGTCTCTGTTCTTGAAGTTTGGGAGACTCTGCCATTCAGACCTCCATGGGAGGCGCAGGGGTGATGCCCTAGATGAAGGGAATTACAATCATGCACATGCACACGCAAAAACCAACACTGACCCGCAAATAACCTGCAACCTCACTGTAAAACCAAACCTGCCTTGAAAATATTGGCCCAACAAACCCAAACCTCAGATCTAACTTTGCTCTTTTGTACAGAGCGGGTAACAAAACTATGAAGTGGCAGCAGAGTTTATGCCAGGTAATGAGTCATGGTTTTGTGTTACTAACGCTGGTCCATCTACACACTCACACACGCATTCACACCCCACACAAAAGGTCCTCCCAGAAACTGTACCAGAACCAACACAGCGATTAGAAAAAGACTGCAAGGAAAACCTTAAGACAAACGACGACGAATCTCATATACAGTGACAAACAGGACAATTTTTTTTCTCTTTTTTTGTTAATAAAAACTACACTGAGGCATAGAAAGACTAACAATGGTTTTTAAAGATATATATATATACAAACTACAACTACTGTACAAGCGGTTTCAAAAGCTCAGAGATGTTGAAGCAAGCATTATGATAGTAAAGCATAAAAAAAAAACAACTGAAGAAAAAAAAAAAAAAGTCCATACTTTACAATAAATCTGTAACAAGCAGGAAGACCGGCCAAATATCAGTAGCAGTTTAAAAGCAGCACTGCTGTTACAAGAGGGGTTCCACTCTTTAAAGGACAACCTGTATGGGCAGATGTTCAAGAGGGAAAACAGATTAAAGGGCAAACCAAAGAATGGAAGCAACAGTAACAACTCGAGTTACCTGTGGATAAACTCACTGTTATCGGTTAAGAGTGAGTCTGATTGAGTTTTTAATCACGCGAAGGTTGCTTGTGGGGATTGGAGAAGATGCATCGGGAAGCTCTTTGCTGGGGAGTCTCTACAAATTACAACAAAAACATTCAGAATCCAAATCGACTTTAAAGCGTTAGTTAATCCAAAAATGCTCATTCTCTTGTTGTTTCAGCCACAAAAAACCTCTGTTCATCTTCAGAATTGAGATCATACAAAAAAAAAAAAAAAAAAAAAAGCCAAAAACACTGTGTCAAACAATTCTGTAAAAATGGGTTCATCTAAGCCACATTGCATTGAACCAAAATCTTGTTTTCATCAGGTTGTTAAGATGTGCGTTTACTACAGACAGCATGATGTATTGCCATTTTAGACAGCAGTATAACACAACTGGTGTATTGCCTGTAATAAGTGTGAAAGACATGGGTGAACAAGTTTTTTGCCACAAAAGTGTTAAAGCTTTTTACGATTAGTTGAACTACTGAAGTCACGTGAAATGTTTTGACAGAGTTTGTGGTTCCTTTTCTGGACTTAAAAAAAAAATAAAAATAAAAATCTCAGAATAGCTGCAACCTAAGGAGGGTCAGAAAACCCTGATTTAACATAAAATGTCTTGTGTTCTGTAGACAAATAAAGGTCTCAGAGGTTTGGAACAACACGAGGTGGGAGTACTTAATCATTTCATTTTTGGACGAACAAACTATTTAAACTGAACCTTTTGCATGTCAGTTACCTGTGATCTTGATGTATCAATTGTTGGTATTGGCATAGCTTTGGTTTCTGCGAGAGTCTCCTGTGTCAAAAACAGCAACAACAAAAAAATTCTTTGCGCACACCTTGCATGAGTTCATATTTTATTAACGCTAGAAAAGTTTCCCTTTCAATAAAATAGTCAATAAATAATTGTGGTTAACACCTGAAGCCTGAGCAATAAACATGGGGAAACCCTCACCACTGTTTGTCCCTCGTCACCATCCAAGCCATTGCTAGAGGGAGGATACGGCTCTTTAAACGCAGAGTCATCAGAGAACACCTGAAGCAAAAATAAAAATAAGTCAAACCACATACCAAGGAAGACTCGAAGTGAAATCATTCTCAAGTCTGAAAGTGTTTGATCAATGCCAGAATAATGACAATGCTCTGATGATTTACATTCTGTCTTTAGTCATGAAAAAAATTAAGTTTGAGCAAAAGATGCAGTATTTCACTTCAAAATAGCAGATTTCTATGGTGCTTCAAAAAGCTCTAAATGACCCCAGCCAAGGAACACGTTTTATACTTCGCGAAAGAAAAGGTCATTTTCTTGTAATGTCTATAATAAATCAAATTTATACATGTTAATGAATTATTGTTCGATTAGAAATGAAAAAGTAAACATATATACACTTTTCAAAAGTTTAAAGTCTGTGAACAATCTGATTTGCCTTTATCATCTCTGAGTACCTCTGTGTCTTTGTGCCTCTTAGGTGGGTCCTCCAGAGATGGAGAGTGAGGTCTCTTTGGCGCTCCATTTACACTGTTGGCCAGTTCAGGGGAGGAAGCGGCAAGTCGTGGTATTACACTGCGACCCACCACTGTAGGAATAGTGTTGCCAGCTGGAGGTGTTGGGGGCTTGGCAACTGGAGTGGTGATGGGCTCTGAAAGGTGACAGTATTGGAGTGAACGCAGTTTACCAAAATTAAAATAATTAACATCAAAATGTGTTTCCCCAACAGGAAAAACAGGAACAAGTCAGTCCACAATACAAGATATGATTGCACTTACTGGAGCCGATGACTGGAATGGACATTCCTTGTTCTGGTTTTGGTTGAGACAGTTCTGATGCTGGTGGGCTGTCCATGAACACAAGAACTGGATGCTGGGGTGGGCTACTACTACTGCCAAAAGAAAAGAGAAAAAAAAAAGTTTATACAGAAGCAGTGAAGATTGACGATGTATAAAAAGAAAATGTTTTAAAAAACCTTATAGTAAAAAATCTTGGTCCAATTTTCAATTTGTATTGAACAAAACCTATGGTGCCATTTAGGTGAGAAACGGAACAGGCTAAAGACAGGTTTGGTGATAGATTAAAGGGTGGGTTAAGGCATAAAGGAAGGATAGCAGTGTAATAATTAAATGTAATTACATAAATTACAGGTATATAATTTATTTTTAAAATAAATACAACAAAATGTAAAAACAAGCAAAAACATAAGGGCACTGTAGCAAATGATTCATTTAAATACAAAAAAAAAATATATATATTTAATTATTATTAAAATAAAAATGTATTTGTTTATTATTAAATTAAAAATAATGTAGGTAACTGCATTTAAACATGGATTTGGGCATTTTATGAATATGAAAATTAGGTCAAAAAATGAGCTTGACCTTAAAAAACAACTGTGACATTCTGCATGAAACTTGCAACTTCATATTAGTCCACAAAAACAGCTTAATATTAACGTCTTTTTTTCAGAGCCAACCCCTAAAGAACAGAATAAATTAAAATTTAATTTTAGTCTAAATGCAATTTCAACCTCTTGGAAAGGTTTGAGGCTGGTCACTTAAAATGATGCAGTCTTTTAGAAATCTCCTAGAATGTGTTCACACTTGTAGTTTGGTTCTGTTGGAGTGTTTGATCTACGCAAAAAAAAAAAAAAATAAAATAAAAAAAAATAAAATAAAATAATAATAATAATAATTATTAGTAGTAGTAGTACATTCAGCCCAGGTCAATCAAGCCCCTACATTACTATTTTTAACAGACGAAACAAACATATTTTTATGATGTACATTTTGCACCAGAACTTACTGAGCATCTAAAATGATGCAGCTTGCTGGGCTAATATACTTGTTGTATGAGCAAAAGGTGCAGTTTTTTGTTAAATTAGCTAAAAAACTTAAAGTTTAAAATTTAAATGTGTAAAAATGGCACCAGAAATTCACTTGTGCACAAATAAAAATCAGCTGCAAGTTGACTTCCAAACTTCCAAACTGAGGCAGACTAACATACACTAAAAAGTTCTTTTCAGAAGTGGACACTGACCCAACATTTCAGTGATCCCATTCTGCTTGTTAAAGAAAAATCGTAGTTTGGATGGCAGCACTTGCACTTCCTTAAATAACAAGATTAACAGAGCAACTGCAACAGCATCCGTACAAATCAAACTTTTTAAGTGTGAACACTTCCTCTGAATCCTTTGGTCCAGAAATGTTTTGTGTGCCTTGCGGATAGCAACATTAGAGAAAAGATTCTTTCCATGCTGTATATGCAGAGGTTAGTTTACTGGTTAGATCAGTTATTCAATCACTTTAGCCTGAGCAAACCTTTTTGTGTTTAATAGACGTCTAAATGTAGACAGCTTGGCTAAAACAAGGCTAAACCTGGGCTTTCAGTGAAAATTGAATAGACATATAAGAATAGCCCACAACTAAACTAGTTATTAAATAGACAGAAATGTATGACTACACGTATAAAAAGTCTGTTTATTTGATGACTAGTTTAGTTTTGGCCTATTCTTAGACGTCTATTAGATTTTCAGTGACAGCCCAAATTAGCCTTGTTTTAGCCAAGACGACCATGTTTAAATGTCTATTAGATATCTAAACTTTTTTAAAAACAAAAAAATGCTTGCTGGAACATTTGTTTTTCTGTCACGCAAGAAGGAGTTTTTTTTAATATAAACGTTTCCAACATAGTTTATATGCATGTTTTATACTATAGTACATCTGCCTAATTTGCCTTAGGCTTTTATTTATTTGCATACTTATTAATTTGGTATTACTTTGTAACCACATTTCTATGAATGTCAAAATGTGGATGAAAATATAGCTAAACTTTACTTGTCTTCAGGTGTGGAGGCTGGCTGGCATGGTTTGCTGATGGGTGTAGGAGAGCTGAATGGCGTGCCAATGTCTGTGTCCCTGGAGCTGTCCAGCTGACTGCTATCCAGAGAGCAGCGCTTTGACCCGCCACCATTTGAGCTCCGGTTTATATCTCCCAAACTCTGTTAGAAAAAAAAAAAAAGAGAGGGAATACATGTATAACATCTATAGAGACTATAAATGTTTTGACTTTTACTGTAAACACTCAGACACTGATTTTACCTTCTTTTTCCTCTGCACCAGCTCAGGAGGCAGGTAATGATGCAGCTGTTTCTTCTTCACATGTGTAGCCTCAATCGTCATGCCATCCTTCAGCATGTTGATGTTGCTGGCCTGTCTATAAACTACAGCAAAACACAATATTTGGATATTAAAAGGTAGCAATGTAATTTAATAAAATTCAGGAGCAGCTTACCAGTATCTGTGAAAGACTGAATGTCGTAGGTCAAGTCAATATTCACACAGTCAGAATTGTCCAGTTTTTTAAAGCTGATTCCAATAAACCACATGGAAACAAAATCATTCCTGCAAAACAAAAACCGATTTCTACATTTAAAAGCTGATGAGCATATTGGTTTATGAAAAAGAAAAACCACACCAAATCGTTAGCCTGATGTACAACATTTATTAATCATGGCTCAAAATTTACTAATGCCTTATTAAAATCCCCATTCATGCTTGTTAACATTAAAGCAACGCGAGTTAACATGAACTAACAATAAACTGTATTTTTATTAACGAACATAAACAATACTTTAATAAATTTGTTTATTCTTTATAAATGTTAGTAAATGCATTAAACACAACCTTATTGTAAAGGAGTTACTACAACAGATGTAGTACAAAATGGCAGAAATATGACATTTAAATAGTCTGAATGATGGCTATAAATCTGCAGAAGGGATTTGCATTATTTTCAGGAATAATTAGTTCATTTAAAGTTAAATGACTAAGGATTCATGTCAGATTTGGACATCTGCATAATTTATTGTGAAAAAAAAGATCTACATTTTAAAGAAAACAAATAAAAAAGAAAAACACTATACAACAACATGCCATTAAGGTAACATGAAATTACTCACAACTATGATAATACCCCCCCTTTAACTTACTCATTGCGATTCTCTTTTGACCCAGGAAAAGACTGTGGATTGACATGGGCAAGAGTGATGTATTCATTTCGCTCCAAGTTTCCAACCAACACTCTTATCTTTGATTCAACCAATCCAATCCTGTAGAGACCAGAAATTCATTATATGAACATTCTGTTGCTCTAGAACTAGAACGGCCACAAAAGGTTCAACATTTAATAGAGGTAATTGATAGTAAGGGTTAAGAATGCATTGAGCCTTTACCACTCTAAATGGTTTTCCTCAGTGGATGCACTGGCAGTGAGGACAATGTAATGCCTGCAACAAACAAACAAACAAATATTAAGATTTAACAATGCACGTAATCCTGGGTTATCATTGCATGAACCATTTTTATTGTAATGTTTCACACTTGCAGTTTAGAAGCAAGATTAGCACCACTTGCTGGTTGTCAACAGCTGAGTGCGGTGTCAAACAACGCAATGTCAAAGTATTACAGTTAGATGCTTAGCAAATGGAACAAGTTTTGTGTAGTGTAGTATAGAAACACTGTTCAAGCTGTAAGTTTCAGCATTTATAGGAAAAAACTCAAATGGTGAACAGGATGGAGAACAGTATTTTTTTAGTTTATAAATTAACTTACAGTAAAAAATATTAATAAAATAAAAATTCATTTTACACTAAATTGCACTATTTTTTGCCTCGATTTGTTCGGTAATGTGTTCGGCATAGCCCTCTATTTATCGAGTGACAGTATTTTAATTTCAGATTGCTTTTTTTTTTGTAGCTCAGCAGTAAAACAAAACATAGGTATATTTACTTATGTATATATATATATATATATATATATATATATATATATATATATATATATATATATATATATATTTATATATAAATAAAAGTTTACGTCAAACTAGATACGATGATCTCTGAGTTAATGGTATTCACTCAACACTCTCCAGTCAGATGAGATAGTGGGCCAAATCAAAGCTTACGATGGGCAAACTTTGGCCCGCGGGCCATACTTTGGGCATCTCTGCATTAAATAATTACTTTATATAACTTCATTTTACATTCTTGGGAGTTACAAAACACAGAGATTTCGGGACAATGCCATTTCAGTCCCAAAATGTCTGTGTTTTGTATTTATTGAAAACATTTAAGACTTTATTACCTTATTAGGGCCTTAATTTTTTCAAAATTGATTTATAATCTTTTAATATGACCTCATGGACACCCTGGACAGAAAACTGGAGTGAAGAGACTTCTCATTCTACAAAGAAATCCTTAATAGGACAGTCTGCAATTCAGAAGAGAAATGCACATCTCCAGAGGCTTTAATGCAAACAAGTTGTGGGCGGTGTTTGTTCAAACACTCGCAACGACACAACAAATAAAGATGCTACCTCAAGGTTTAACAATGTAACACTATGTGAAACAGTTTATGTATATGGAGAAATTCCAGTTAGGTTTTAGTATATCTGAAAAGATAGAGAACTCGGGAGTTTTTTTACCTGGGGTTTAGAATGAGCCAGGGCTAACCATCATAACTATGAAAAAGTGGATTGCTTAAAATTAAATCTTGAATATGACATTGTAGAGATCCACGTACCTATACTGTTGGAAAAAGTTGGGAGGTTCAAACAACTTGGACCAGTCGGCTTTACCCTGAAGAATTTCATCTGTAACAGTGAGACCTAAAACCAGAAATGTATCTGTCAATTGTAATGATCAGTAAAAACACAAATTGTTCCTTCTTCGACTTCAGTTACGCACCATTCTTGAACTCCTCATTCATGATAGTGCGTGTGGAAGTGGACACGTTGTAGGTGGAGTTCTGTTGTGGATATGCAGGAGTGATGATTGGCATTAAGTGATACCGGTCTGATGGATTCACCTGAAAGCAGAAGAACAAACAATGGTATAGTCAAATCAGAAAGCATGTAAAACCAAGAACAGTATATTAATCACAATGAACATGAGTGCTGACCCGTGGATCCCAGACCGGCAGATTCAAATTGCTGTCTTCGGGTTGTTTTAAAAGCACAGGGTTTGGCCATTCCCTGAAGAAGTCAAATCAGAGGACAAATGCATACAAATAGAATTAGGAAGGAAACAGGACATTCCATTGCTACATGATAGGGACTAGACAATTTCAGCACACGATACGTGAAGTTTCAGTTCCACTATATGAACCTGGTGTGATGTGACCTCACCATTTAGAGAAGACCAGAAAGAACTTATGCACAAGCGTGGCGGCAACAGCATTTGGGTAAAGCTGACATGTTCTGGCCACCAGCATAGCCCAGGAAACTCCGCCGAGAAAGCCTAGCATGTTGGAATAGATTCCACGGCCTTAAAAAAAAAAAGGAAGGGGGGAAAAAAAAGACAATATCAGTGAAATGCATTCTTAACATGTTTATTCAAGTTAAAACCGAGAACAAAAGATATCAAAAGTCTCCATTTCAAAGCAGATATGAGAAGTGTGGTTAACACGTTAGGACACATTGAGCTGTGTGTGAAACACTTTTGAACCACAGTGTCCATTTCCCACTTTATCAAGAAAATGGAGGGAAGTAAATAAATAAAAGACTTACGTTTGGCCCACAGTTTAATCGCTCTTAATGTTAATCTGAAATTCTCTTTATTAGGCACCAAATATAGGATCTCATCTGTAACACGACAACCTGCAAAACAATTTAGAAAAAAATTAGACAATAAATGTGACTATGTAAAAGTTTGAAGTGATAAAAAACATTGAGATAAGCACATTTAAAAAAAAATGGTGATGTGAAAGAATTTTACTTGACAGACTGAACAAGTACTCGATTAAAACAAACTAGGGAAGTGTCAATTTCATCAAGAGTGATTCTAATTTTAATATGTAAACAGTGAGAGGGATAATGTATTTAATGTAATATGGCCAGCCCCACTCAGTATCATGCAGTTTGGCAGATGCACAATTGTATATTTTGGTAACCTAAAAAGTCCCAAAGATCTTAGTAATACAGATGCACAATTTCAACACATAGCAGTTTCAGTAACTCCAGCTTCAGGTAAATAAAAACTCACTCATTGTGATTTGCCGCCACCTACTGGTGGTTTACTCACATTTTTAAAAGAATTATTGCAATTTTCAACAATTCAGATGGTAAAAATGACTTAAAACAATCAATTTATAAGTTTATGCATTTCTAATGTTGGCGAGTAAATGCCTTTGTGGCAAATCAAAGCCTTAACCTAAACATCTACAGGGTTCATATTCATAAAAAAATAAAATAAATGGAAGTAGCTAAAATGAGCATACAGCATCTATCCATCTATAAAGATTTATTTTGTTGATAATTTATTAGTATACACAGCACAATTTAATAATTTGACATGACAGTTAAGATGGTTAGAAAAATTCATATAAGCAAAAAATAAAAAATGCACAAATATGCTCATTCAACTAAAAATGACAAAAAAAGCAATGTAGGACACTCACAGAACAGGAAATGTGGATATGACAAATGTTTTAAACAAGGAATAAAACACTGGTCTTCAAAAAGTGATATGAAAACAAACAAAAAATGTTCTTGTTAAAGGGACGTGCAGAACTTCACAATGCTTAATACTAGGGCTGCACGATATTGGAAAACTGATATTGCATTTTTTTTTTTTTCTGTGATAAATATTGCGATATGAATACGGTTTCACAAGATATTTTGAACAGCACCATTTGATGGTTTTCTGCAGAGTCTAACAGTATTCAGGTACGGCAATTGAAGAATCACAATGCAAAAAAAAAAAGTTTTTCTTCTTGTTTTGTTTCTAATCTAAACATCAAATAATTCTTAGAGCAAGTAAAATATATTGTTTTTTTACCTTCAGAAGAAAATCAAAATTAAGAAATTTCCCTTAAAACAAGCAAATTTTAGTGAAATAATCTCGTTTTTACTTTGAAATGTAGATATTTAAATTAGGAACAAGACAAAAATTCTAAGTCATTTATTGGCATAAATCATATAAATTCCATATAGATAGTGATTAAATTATAGTTGACCAGGAGCTACAGAATTGTATTCAGACTAGAGCTGCACAAATAATCGGAAAAAAAGATTGTGATCTCGATTTGACCCTCTAGACCAGGAGTCACCAATCTCGGTCCTGGAGGGCCGGTGTCCCTGCTGTGTTCAGCTCCAACTTGCCTCAATACACCTGCCTGGATGTTTCAGGTATACCAAGTAAGACCTTAATTAGCTTGTTCACGTGTGTTTGATTAGGGTTGGAGATAAAATCTGCAGGACACCGGCCCTCCAGGAACAACTTTGGTGACCCCTGCCCTAGACGATCTTAGGCCCCATTTACACTAATGCGTTTTAGTTTGAAAATGCACAAGTTTTGCTATGCTTACGCCAACCGTCCACACTACGCCAGAGTTTTCGAGCGCTGAAAATGGAGCGTTTTAAAAAACGCTGAAGAGGCCGTTTTCATTCTAAAACGCTGCTGCTCCGTCCCAGTCTGGATGGGGGAAAACAGAGACAACTGAAAACGGAGGCGGGGCTGCCGACATTCGCCTCTCTGATTGGGGCTTTTCCTCGATATTAAGTAGCCTAACGTTACACACAGTTCAGTCCTACATCCTCTCCTTGTAAGTTCAGACTTTGCAAGTTTGATCAAGGCTGCAGTCTCCCCCTCCTCAGTTTGATATGGAAAACAGACTACCGAGGACACGGGTAAATCTTCAAAGGAAACAGTGTACTTAATAACTTCATTCACATCATCCTGGCTACGTTGTTTCACTTTCTCAACGATAAAAATGTAAACATCCTTTAAGGAACTGCCTATTTTCATTTTAATATTAGCAACTTAACAGACAGCAGAAATGTTGAAGCGTTGGGCTGCATATACGAGCGTCATCTTCACTGTGTGGATATTTATAACAAAATGGAGCCTAACAACTGCCTCCTTTCAATTTCAGTGAAAATACGAAACATACCCTCTCTTTTGCTGAATATCAGTTTTAATAATCGATAATGGCCATTATAAAAGTATAACATACAATAAGTTTATACATTATAGGAAATAAAGACAGGCAATCAGTCAATATACAGAATGTAGGCTACCTGGTTACATTAATCATTAACTTATCTTTGCGCTTAGACAAAACACGTTACCTGAGAACAAGTAATAGATTCCAATGACCAAAGTTAGGGAATATGTTGTTAGATATAGACAACAAGATAAATGCTAAAACTAAAACGCACTAGTGTAAACGGGGCCTTAATTCAGCATCTTTATGATTCTGTCAATTATATTTTCAAGTTCAGGAGCAAAGTCTTCACATTGTTTCACATACGTTGTTCAGCGACATGGACACCTCCAAATGGTGTTGAAAGTGTCACATAATGTATTAATTAGGTATAATTCGCCCAAAAATGTCATTTCTGTCTTCATGTAATGATGTATTCGGGGACGCGAAATCACACATGGCGTGAGCTGCTGACCGTGAGCCGTTACCACAGAGAGGGCAGGCATGCTCTTCTAAATGATAGAGCTTTACAAGCTTTATTTCATATCTACAGAATTATGAGAAAATTGTGATCTTTATTTTAAGCAAAAAAAAAAAAAAAAAAAAAAAAAAAAAAAAAAAAAAAAAATCGCGATTCTCATTTTGGTCAGAATCGTGCAGCTCTAATTCAGACTCAACATTGCATATCTTTGCAATGTGACTATTGCTGACGTGCACATTGCAATATCGATGCTGAAACTATATATTGTGCAGCCCTACTACACACCAAATCATAAAAAAAATTATTAAAATCCTTCATTACCATTTAGACTGCGAATACATCTGATGTCCAAGTTTCTGAGGAGAGAGTCTCCTCTCAGGTCCAGGTTATCAGGAATGGACTGTAGAGCAAGTCTGGCAAACAGCAGATCAATCTGATTGGAGAGTGCAGAGGACATTGGGATTAAAACAAATTATAAAACAGGTTTGATTTCATAAACAGGTCTTTACCAAGAATCATTTACCTCGATGCCATCAAACTTGAACTTGATCACTGGTACAAATGCATCTTCCACAGCCTGAAAAAGAATTTCACACAATATTAAAAATTCACTTCTTATAAAAAAGCCAGAGGAATAAACTATGAAGCACATTAAAAGTACTCACGCGTAGGTCCTTAATCTCATCATGCCGTTTTAGTTTTTCAAAGAAGGATGAAAAAAAGTCTGTTCTTTCAACATGACGTGGGGCAACACACAAAGCATCTATATCAGCACCTAAAGAAACAATATTTTGATTAGCAATGGCTCATGTACCGTTTTGTGCAATGGCTCTCTCCCAAGATCTTATTCAGCAGCTTATCAAATGTACCTTTTGTGTGCACTCCCAACCTATAGGACCCAAACGTAAAGATTTTGCCACCAACATTCGCTACTGCTGACGGTGGAAGATTCTGTAGATTAAAAGGAATGATTTAGAAAAGCATCTCATCCAACCTGATGATCAAACTAAGAAACCTGCAGGTTTACCTACCTTTGATTCACTGATTTCAGAAATCCACTCCTTCACAAACGAATTTAGCTTCCCAAGAACCGCAAGCCTTCAAAAACACACACATGCTTCTCTTAGTATTCACAGTCACTCAGAACATGCAAAAAGCTCATTTGTAGGATACCAAGTTTCCAACTACACAAAATTGTAACAAAGGAAAAGTTATTTTATAAGTAAAAAAAGTTATGTGGGAAAAAAAAAAACACAAGATGAGATTCTTTTTATTATCTCAATGCAAAAAGCTGTACATAAAGGTTTCAGCACAACTGATATAGGTGTATAGAACGTGAATATCTGAATATAATTATGTTTTTGTGTATAAATAACAGTTGAAGAACAACTGATTTTAGTGAAGAACTCACATTTTTCTCATTGCACCACCGATGGACAAATTTACAAAAATATTATGTCTGGAAGATTTTCAGGGTCAGTGCTTGTGTCATGATTATCAATTGGCCACAGCGAGGTCACAGTGACATCCAAGCAATGCATACACTAGCAACACTAACGACTACCTGCACACACTTGTTCATTAATTCCAGAGCCAGCGACTAAACAAGTCTGTAGAAAAACGTTTTATATGTTCAAGCATGTGACTAACCACCTGCTTCCACCTGCATGTTCAGTGTTTATGCTGCATGTAACATTTAAAAGCATTTACAAAAATCTCTGAAGGGGTCAAACTTGAAGAGATAGTTCATGCAAAACAGAATATTCCAGGATGGTGGTTGAGAAACACTGATTTATAGAACAAAATCAATACCAAAAGTATTCAACAATAACAAATAGCTTGTTGAGTAGCGCTTATTGCAAAATATATATATAAAATATATGTATACATTGAATTAACAACATTTTACTGACTTGTATCGCTTTGTTTGTATTTTAGGTCCTAAAGTTTAACATAGCAGTTTATTTAAATTTTTAAATTTGATACTTTATATTCAACTTCCAGATTTCAGTTCTAAATAGTCAGTTAATAGTCAGTTCTAATAGTCAGTTCTATTTAAAAATACAAAGTATAATATTCAAAAGACAATTTTCAATTCATTTATTTTCAGTTCAAAAATTTGCTTCCATAAATTCAGCTGTTAAAATTCAACAATACATCCGGGAGCTGCAGGAAAAGCAATAGATTGTAGAAAGCAGATTCGACAAATTGCTTTTTCACCACTTTTACATGCATTTTTTTCATTTATTGCTATTCGACACGCTTTATTTCAACACTTTTGGTATTGATTTTGTTCCATAACATTGTTCATGTAGTAGAAAAGCTATTTTAATAGGTTCTATAGGACTAGATAAAACAGGAAAAATAAACTGTAGGCCGCTTCAAAAAGCAGTCAAATGTCTGTGTCTATTGCCATGGTAATAAAAAAAGCACAAGCATAAGTTTCTAAAAGTTGTCAGCTGATGTCTTGTCAGTTGACAAGTAGACAGGGATAAATGGGTGCATGTAACATGGAGAAAGACTCTGCATTATTCATTTACACATACTACCAACATCGTTACTATACAAAGTAGATGGCCCTTGTGCTGTGTGTTTAGCTTTACCACTTACATATTAGAGAAGGGCAAGCAGTGCTATTTGCGGTTGATTGTGTAGTCGTATCACACAACTTTCAATGACAAAAATGCCACAAATATGACTATCAAACCCTCAAAGACAGGAAAATGAACAAGTTGAATATACAGATTACTCTACATGTTCAATTTATACTCCTGCATTGAGTGTATGCCAGACACGCACCTCGCAAAAATGAACTACATTACAATGATGCACAGCTCAAGATCTGTAAATGGTGATCTTGGTAGTGGTGACAAGTGTAGGCAGGTCCAAGAGGTAGAGAGTGTTTAACAAATGTCGAGTCTGCTGGAGAAGCCCTAGACGGAAACTTTTGTTTTGGGTTTACCTTGCATTTAAAGTTGTTGAACGTTCAGTAGTTCCCGCTCTTTCTTCCTTGGAGCGCAAGTTTGAGCTACTTCTACAGTAGAACTGCATGCATTATGATGAAAACTCAAAGCACAACATAGAAACCTCACTGTCTACCAAGGTTTCAGAGGCGTTACTGCTTGAGCAGCACAGACAGAACATATAGGGTTAAAAGCCAGGCTTTAAGTTCAATGCTATGACATTCATTAACAAATATACTTGACAGAAAGCAACAAATGTGTCAGTCTGCAGTGAACAAAGCACAGTCTCTAACCGCTGGAAAGCAGTGACTAAACCAGCAGTTACATAACTGAAAGAGCTCACCTGTGATTGAGCTCATCTTCACCTTCAAACACTCCAAATGGTTTCATAGCCTCAGTGAGCTTCTGAGTGTAGATATGGTCTATCTCTCTGGGAAATGCCAGGCTGATTGAAGATGTGATGCCATAATGTTTCCGAGGCTGCTGCCCGCCAAGCGTACTGTTACCAGTCCTGTGAATCAAAACATGATGATGATGATGACAGCATTTCTGTTGCATACTGTACTGAAAAATGAAAACGACCTAAGCATTTGTCTCACTCATGTGGTTTTAAACCTTTACGAGTTTCCTGTCACACTGTATTTTGATGGTCCGTTTGTTAAATTTAAGTTACACCGCATCTACATTCCAACTAATTCTCATTAGATTATAAGTAGACTGTTGGGTTTTGGTTAATGTAAGTTGACATGTACTTGCAAAGTTTCTTATAGTCGGTTAAATGTCTGTTGAAGGAGCAGTATCAGCAGATATTAGGCAGGCAGTCTACTAATACTCAAATGGACCATTAAAAAAAAAAATAAAAAATGTGTTACTGGGTTTCTTTTTTTGAACACAAATTAAATATTACTTCAAACCACACTGAACTGAGCTAAACTGAACTGAACTTAAACACTAAAAACTGAACTACCCTGATCCAGTTACTATGACCATTTATGTGAAGCTCCTTTGACACAATCTACATTGTAAAAGCGCTATACAAATAAAGCTGAATTGAAAAAAAAATAAGATTTTAAAAAATGCTGACTCCCACAGTAAAAAAAAAAAAAAAAAAAAAAAAAAAGACATTGATGGTTCCCAACAATTAGTATTTTTCATAATATCTTGTGTTCAGCAGGCCCACCACTGCATGCTCATTTCTAGTTAATTGCAAGTATAACAGGATATTTGTGAATTAATTATTATGATTAAGAGTAATATATCATTTTAATTATATATGCATATATAAAAACAGATAACATTTTTTAATCTATTTCAATAGTTTTATTTCACTTTCAAAAAATAAAAAATAAATAAAAATTCTTAGAAAACTTAACCAAAATCAACAGTACATTTGGATCAAGTCTCATGTTTTAAAAGACAAGTTATTCACAGAAAACTTAAGCAGGGTTCACACACATTTTTACGACTAAACTTCTATGACTTTTTCAGAAATTTTAAGTACATTTTCATGACGTAATATTTCATGTAATGTATATACATTGTAAATATTAAGAAAAGCAATGACAATCTATTGTATTACAGCATATCAAGTCGCATAACAATCCATTTTGTTTAAATTTGTTTTTATATCCATGTAAAGTTTATTTTAATAATGCTTAAACAGTGAGCATAACAATGTGAGCACGTTTATGACCAGGACAGAAAATAAGGACAACTAACCTATTTTCAAGCTAGGGCTGCACAATATATTGTTTCAGCATCGATATCGCAATGTGTGCATCCCCAATTATCACATTGCAGGATATGCAGTGTTGGAATTATAGTTTAATACAGAGGTTAAACATAATGGAGCAAAAGTTTCAGCTGCTTGCATTTTAAAAGTCCACCCAAAAATCTTTTACTCTTTTCATTACACCCTTTACTTGTTTTAAACATTTATGAGTTTTCGTTTTTTGTAATGAACACAAAAAGCATATCATTTAATAACTGCTATAGTATTGAAACAAGTGAAGTGAGAGTAAATAGGGAGTTCATTTTAATCTTTGAGTAAACTGTCCCTTTAAGGGACTTTTCCAGGGTTTCCATGCCCGTATGAACCCTGTTAAGACAATACTGCCTAATTAGAGAGCAAATAAACAAGTGCGCTTTGCTGTAGAACAGGAACGGTGTTCTAATCGTTTGACAGTAGTGAAAAACGGTACTATATGAAACAAGGAAATCAAATGTGCTCTGTAATGTTTATTGACAAAATGTATAGTTATAAATGACTGTGTGTGTAAATGCTTTGAAGCATTGAGATGCGTTTGAAGGAAAGCATGTAGGTTACAGACGCACATTTTAAAATACATGTACATTCTACCAGGAGCATTTATAATATTATATGACCACGAATGAGACACGATACAAGAATGACACATGATCACGCCAATGTTCACATCGTACTTTCCCGTTTAAAGAATATATAAGTGCATGCATTTGTATTTGAATGTACTCGTGCATTACAACCTAAAAAATGTGAGTTTGTAAGGGTTCATGGTGAGCTTGGGAACATCAAAATCCAGATTGCATTCACACAATTTATCCCACCACACCACACCTGTACATTCAAATGCGTTGCGTTTTTGAAGCGTAAACAACAGCTGAAAGATCCGCGCTAGCATCTACAAGCATTGCACAATATGTGCGTGTAAACAAAGACAAGTCCACTTGATTAACTCGACAAAAAAAACTCAATTCCAACTCAAATCACCAAACAACCGTGTACTATACATCTGTAACTACTGCGATTGTTTATTTGGATTAAAAGCACACATTTAGGCCGCTTATCAGCGATAGCCTGCATTCTCTGACCGTTATCTCAATAAACAGGCTAAACTAGCCTAGCCTTGCAAATATCCTCAGTAACTAATTCGCTTCACAACATAACATAATTATGAGGCATGAGACACTTACGCTGACATCTCTCTCATGACCTTGCGTAGAAATATCCAAATATTTTCAGAACAAACGCGCAAAAAACATGTAAACTCAGCCAGCAGCAGCCCCGTCTCAATTTATAACAATAGTTGCTGCTCCAATATGGCGCCCATCGGACAGACATTTCCCGACGTGCTTTGCGCACTGACGCCACCATATAAATGTTTTTAAATATCAATCACGGTTTTATTGGATTAGATTGCGCGCAGACCAGCTTTAGTCTAAATAACAATCAAACAACTGTTTATATTATTTAACAAAGAAAACTACACTCTCTAGTAAAGGAGGATTCAAGGTTACACTTACGTTTTATCCTCGTGTGTTCGAGTGGACTTATTTTTAAAAATAAAATCAAATTGTGATATATTATTGATTGGAAGTGTACAGTTCGACAAAGTGACAGTATTAAATATAATGAATTATTTATACAAATCGATTTTTGTGACTGACAACATGCCCCTCGCTCGTCACGTGACCAGCGTTCCGTAAGTAAACACTGAAATGTTTGTCCTATTTTAACCGATTTCGACATAAAGTTAGCAAATTCTAGAAGTTCAATTGGCTAGTAATGGTGCGTGAAAGCGTATAAATTAACATATAATCATGAGAGTTAAACACAGCTGAACAAAAAGGCCTATTACTTTTATCATAAGACTTCTTCCTAGGAAGCATTTGTTTGTGTCATGTAATGTAGCCTAGCATTTCTGTGATATGTTCTTGATTATAGTAAGGCCTTCTGCCTTCTTGTGTGCCTAGAGTGGAATGATAGCTTTTAAACAGCTTGTAAATGACTTTGAATTTCCTTTTAGACCAATTAGCCTGAAAAAACTACCATCTGAAGTGCTCAGGCATCACTTTTGACCTTAACATTGTGTTGTGTGGGTTACTGAGGTTTAAATAAGGCCTTCTTGGATGATTTAGTTTTTACTTCTACACTTTTACTAATTCTATTAAAAAACTGATTAGGTGTACAATAGAAATTACAATAGAAATTGGGATTTGCAAATAGGCCTATACTATACCACTTATACCATGAAAAAACAATAAAACTAAAAACAGTCATGGTAAGCCATGTCATGATGAATCTTCTTTGTACAAATGTATAATGAATTATAAATAATAGGCCTATAATTTTGTGAATCAGTATAAATAATTCAGCAGGCAGCACTGTATCTCAGTGGTTAGCACTGTCACCTCACAGCAAGAAGGTCGCTGGTTCGAGTCCCAGCTGGGTCAGTTGGCATTTGTTTGTGGAGTTTGCATGTTCTCCCTTGTTCCTGTGGGTTTCCTCCTGGTACTCAGGTTTCCCCCACAGTTCAAAGACATGCAGTACAGGTGAATTGAATAAACTAAATTGGCTGTAGTATATGTGTGTGAATGAGTGTGTATGGATGTTTCCCAGTTCTAGGTTGCAGCTGAAAGGGCATCTGCTGTGTAAAGCATATGCTGGATAAGTTGGCAGTTCATTCCGCTGTGGCGACCCCTGATGAATAAAGGGAATAGGCTGAAGGAAAATTAATAAATGAATAAACATTTAATGTAAAATTACACAGGTTTCATGTGTAAAGTTATATAATATATATTACATATAATATATAAATATTAAAGACAAAAGTTTATGAGACAAATTAATATTTGTTGTTGGACAATCCATTTTATACTGTGAAATAAAAACAATATTATAAAATATTATATATGATCATACGTATGGTTAAAAATTGCAAATGTCACACTTTATTTTGATGGTCCGTTTGTTGAATTTAGTGACATTGCATTTACATGCCAACTAATTCTCATTAGATTATAAGTAGACTGTTGGGGTTAGGGTTGGTGAAAGTTGACATGTACTGGCAAAGTTTCTTATAGTCATTTAAATGTACTAATACCCAAATGGACCATCAAAATAAAGTATTACTATTTGTTTTATTGTTCATAAAATATACTCATTTTGATAACACATTAAGATCAACACTACACTTTTAATGCTAAAGTTTTAGTATTAATTAATGTAATAATTAAAATTAAGATGAGTAATACACTTGTGGGTGACCCAGTGGCGCAATAGGTAGTGCTGTCGCCTCACAGCAAAAAGGTCGCTGGGTCGCTGGTTCCAACCTCGGCTCAGTTGGCGTTTCTGTGTGGAGTTTGCATGTTCTCCCTGCGTTCGTGTGGGTTTCCTCTAGGTGCTCTGGTTTCCCCCACAGTCCAAAGACATGCTGCACAGGTGAATTGGGCAGGCTAAATTGTCCGGGGTGTGTGTGTGCGTGTGCGTGTGTGTAGATGTTTCCCAGAGATAAGATGGGCTGATTGCGGCTGGAAGGGCAAAACGAAAAAATGTGCTGGATAAGTTGGCAGTTCATTCCACTGTGGCGACCCTGGATTAATAAAAGGACTGAGCCAACAAGAAAATGAATGAATGAATACACTTGTTAGAGTATTTATTAATTAACATTAATAAACACAGAGCTGTCATTAATAATGGTAGCTTAATTCGATTAAATAATGTTTATTATAAAATATTAATTTGTAATTATTAATTAAAATTAATCAACTGTTATTATTAGTTTGCTAGTTTAGTTTAATGTTTACTATATGCTTTTTTTAAAATAAAGTATAGTGTAGTTAATAAATGTTGTTTATTTGATTTTGAATTTAAAATGTTACTTTTACAACTTTACAAGTTTATTTATTTTATTATTGTTGACTTTAATCCATATTTATTTTTTAGCCATATTTTAGTTTTTAAAAAGTTTCTATTTCTATTTCTATATTTCTATTTTTATTTATCAGAATATTCTTATTTTTATTGTATAAAGTTTTTAATTTTACATTTATGCATTTTAATAATTTTTTATTGAAAATAATAATAATAATCCACCTGACCCTGTTGCACTCCCTGTTCAAAAACCTCTACTAGGTAATACGATTATTTAGCTAATAATAGGCCTTAGGCTAATGATTAAAGAATATAATAGGCTGCATCCGCTCCATTTGACGAAGCGTAGTGGTTCTAGTTAGAAAAGAGCTGTGGCATATGTTGTGATTGAATCGATTAGACACAAACCAGGCCTTGGCAAGAACGTGTGTTCCGTGCGTAATTGCTTATTCACAGCACCATCTAGTGGATAAAAGCCAGTAGTGTCCTGATGACGTCAAGATCCACCAGCTCCTCGGATAAAACCAGCACAAGAATTGTTGCGTGAGGTGTGTGGTGTAATAAAAAAGTATGTTAGAATGTATTGCATCTGCATTCGTATTGACCTAAACGTTGGAATCAATTGCCTATTAACATCGCATAGAGTGCATTAAATGGATAATTAAAAAAAAAAAGAAATTTCATCATAATTTACTCGACATTCAATTAGTTCTAAATTTGAATCTTTCTTTTATGAATCTAACAAAGATGAAGGAATGCGAGAAAAAGCAGCCATTGACATCCAATAAAAATAAAAAGTTAATGGCTGCTTTTATTTCCAACAATCTTTAGCTATCACCCTTTGGGTTCGTTCAACAAAGAAATTCAAACAGGTTCGGAACAAGTGAAGAGTAGCCTAAATAATGACAGAATTGTCTTTGTTTGGTGAACTATTCATTTAGTAATAGTAATGTACAAGTTATTAGAACTCAGTAACTTTAGTAAATTTAAATTTGTAACATTATCTTGCCTATAACAATTGATGATTGTGTCTCTGTGTGTATTAATTAATTGAACTGCAATATAATACATGAGACTATGTGCGCGCGCATTTAAATACATAAATAAAAACACCTGAAACAATCTTGTAGTTTAATTCATAGTAACATTTCTAATGACTGAAAGCCTCAGTGTATGAAATCTTCAAGATACCATCGACATCAAAAAGGATATCTTAAAAATCTTAAAACTTTATAGTCTATAAACATCGAATGAAGTGATCTATTTAAACCGCACAGCTCCACGTTAACCAACTAGCTTGCTGTTTATCATCACTGACGATCTCAAATCGTGGATGATTTTGACGTTTTTAGACGCTCTTCCAATGTTGGTCAGTTTAGATCTACATCGATTTCCTTCTCCTATATTGGAGTCGAAAAAATTATTTTGTCGTGTTACCTTACCGGTTTAAGAAACAGTCCGCATAAACAAACATTTCTTTAAGGTCTGAAATATTTAAAACTGTTTTTAAGTTTAAGTGATCGTCCTTATTTTCAAGAACAATTTAGTGAATTTTCACATGTAAGAACCATTTTTTGTTCCCCCACGAATATTTCGACGAATAGTTCTTAACAGAACTTGTTTCTTCCTGCGAAGAGCTTGTTAAGAATCCAAAGAACACGTTGTGCTATATGGAATGGTTCCACTGAGGCCAATAAACATCCTTTTATTTTTAAGAGTGTGTATTAATTTTAAATGGCGTAGCAGTATTAAGAAAATATTCGAAGCATATAAAGTGAAAAACCTTTATGAAGTAGGTATACTTAACCTTTAAAAAATGAAAAGCCTTTATGAACAAGGACATTGATAGAAAAAAAAACAAAGATGTACAATTATACGTAAAAGCAAGACAATATTATATTATGAACAGTTTTGATTGCTTTATTAAAAACAACACAAACAACATTTCCATATTTTTTTCTATTGTAAATTATTGTAACACCTTCATGTATGCTTCTGTTTTCTTTTCATGTGGTATTTGTGAAAAGAAAATTAGCAGATCAACGTGTTTCAGCAGTGTGTTTTATCCATCTTCTTAAGGCTTCCTTTAGAACCTGTTGGAAAGCAGTTTATAGTCAGACTTAAAGCGTAAGAGAGAAAGAGTGTGTTTAGTCGGGGTTCCCGCTGTAAAGGCCATTCGGTAAATTCTTCTGCGGTATCGTCAGCAGTGTGTTCTCTGATGTTTCTTCCCGTGTTTACAGACAAGCTCATTCGCTGCCAGAGTTTGTGTGGCAGTGAGTTGATTTCGCGTAGTCGCTGTCCATGGTTCTGAAGCAATTATAACAGCCACAACTCAGTCTGATTAAAATGAAAACATTTCAGCCAACTTGACAAATTACTGCTGGATGTAAGGACTGTACAAAAAATAATAATTTTTCCCACGAACTGTTAGATTGCGTGTGCTGTGCATTGTATTTCTGATTTACGAT